TCTCATTCTTTATAATTGTGACAATCAATTTCCCTAATGAATACTCTCTTATCTTTCTAGTCTGTCACCTCTGGTTATTAATGTACTATGCTCTTTCAATATGAGATGTACAGAATATTTTTTTATCAAATCAGACTAGTCTAATGATCTAATCTCTCTGTTGCAACTTTTTTTGATTCAATCACTTTTATTAACCTATTAATGTTAGATTTTATACACAATATCTAGTCATCTTCTCTACTTTAGCACATCATGTTAACAGTAATAAGCCAAGTAAGATGGCTAAACCTCAACCTAGCATTTTAATATCCTCTGGACAAGGTAAGCAGAAAGCCAATCACTTTACACACATGTAAATGTAGTGTTCCAAAATAACTAGAAAGTTGCTACACTTTTAAGCAGGGGGGGAAGAAAAACAACTTTCATTTTGGTCTTTTGTTCTCGAAAATTATACTTTCAATTAACAGCAACAATGATATAAAAAATGCTCTGCCTTTTGAATTTATTAACTTCAATACAAATTAAAATATAATATTGGAGCCTTTTACAAGGTAATAGCTAGCAGCTACATTCATCAGTGCAGCTGGCCTCCTTATCGATACCCAGGTCCAGGTTGGGTATAGCCCTGACCAAAGTTACGTGCATAAGGGTCAGGCCCACTTGGAGGAGGGGMCATGGTACTTCCAGAAGGTGTAGTAAAACTTGGTCTTGGTTGATAAGCCCTGGGTTGGTTTGGAACCATTCCAGGCTGAGAGGCAGGGGCCACGGTATAATTAGTAGACTGAGACATTTGGGTAGGATAACGGCTCACCTGGTACTGCTGTGGTGGCTGAGCAGCCAGTTGCTGAGGCTGACCAGAAAATGTAGGAGCTGGTGCCTGGGAAGTTGGTTGCTAGCTATATCCCTGAAACTGCTGAGGTTGTGGGGTCTAGTCTGCTGACTATAGCTAGCTGAATACTGAATACCATACTTCTGAGGTGGCTGAGGTGGAGCTTGAGGCTGTTGGGCACCATAGCTGGCTTGCTGCTGGTACTGTTGGTACATCTGACCTTCAATCTGACCTGCTTGTGTTTGGGCTCCTGTATATAGAGGCTGTTGTAACTGAACTCCTGGTGGGTGAGCTGCTGAAGAGGAGGAAGCAATGCTGTCAGACCTTCCTGAAAGGTCGTCTGAAGGAACACTGGGTGACCCTGAAACCTGATCATCTGTTAAATCAAACGCTGACATTACATTTTTATTGATTTCATCTTGGTTTTTCAAAGGATCAAAAGCTGACATACTTGCTGCCATAACCTGAGTAGACTGTTTTCCAAAAGAATCAGAAGCAGCAGGCTTTTCTTCCCTACCATCCACAGTATCATTTTCAGGAATATTGGTGGAAGGTCCTGGTTCTCCAGGTGGTTCCAAGCTGTCCAATAAGTGATTCACT